AATGGGACCGCCTCTCTCAAAATCTTGGTGCCACAAATGAGACACTCAGCTTTTCTGGTGCAATCCAGCAGTGGGATAGGGGCTGGGACCTGCTATCCTGTCCCCGCAGCTCACAGAGGGAGGGCACAGGCAGAGGCATGTCCTCTGAGACCCTTGCCAAGTGCTCATGTGAACATGGCTCAGCAAAGCTGCAGGGACGTGGATCAGGGCCAGAGTGACAATGTTGGCCTGCTCTTTGAATAATTCCAGTTCCAGACTCATTCTGCTTATTTATAACACAGTAATGACGGATACTACCCCTCCTGAAATCTGGAAGTGTTCAAGTTTAAAAAAGACCAAACCTGAATATTATGGAGTAGGGTTCTCTTTTCTGAAACTCTATCTCTAAATAGCTCAGCTTGACAAAGAGGAAGCCTGGAGAACAGACTTGTGCCAGCCTGTGCTCAAAGCACTAAGGCATGCACAATGCATGAGTGAACAGTGAAGATTTTATCCAAATTCAGAGTGACTCCTGGTATCAGAAGTAAACGGAAACTATGTAACAAAGTTATCTTTGAGCTTAAATTCTTTGAAATATCAAAGAACATCCTAAAGTGGTCTTCGTGGTACTGTTCCTTTATTTGCATATGCATACAGCCAATTCAGAGAAAGAAAGATGTGTTTAAAGCCATTAACAAGTTTAGGAGGTTTCAAGCAATTCAGAAGCGGAACTGAAGTGCAAAAGGGAAAAATAGATTAGTGACAATCTTAAGGGTAGAAATGAAATTTTAGAGACAGGTTTTTAAACAAGGGAATGTGAAGCTATCAAAAAATAGGATGTGATATTAAGCTGGAAATTCAATTTCATACTTTTTCTGAAGGTAACTGAGCCCTCTGATTAGCAGCTCATATGAAAGTGGATTCAAATGAGGCAATTGAATTTATTATCACCTTTTGCACTATACTTACCTTCTCTAATAAACTTTTCTGCCTTGAGGGTTAGAATGTGCATACCATTTGCAAATCATATCCTGATTAACAATAATTTTCAACCTGGCTCTGAACCAGGGAGTGAACAGTTGAACCAAGAGAATCAGCAGGCTGACAGACACTTACTGAGGGGAAAAAAGATGGAGCACAATGCTCACATGTATGATCCCAAAACAATTGAATACCTATAAAAAGACAACTCTGAGCAAGCAATGAATAATGCCAGCTATTTTCCTACAATAGCTCTGTCAGTAGGAGTTCTTGTAGATGCCCTCTGGATGCAGTTTTATATTACACTTAATCCAATCTAACTGTGAGCTGCAACCAAAAGATGAGGTAATATTCCCTCTTTCCCAGCACAGCCTGTTGCTACCTTTGTTGGGAACACAATTGTCTCTTTTCATGTCAGCCTGCAGTTACACAAGAGTTAACAAAACCTGAAATTTTGGCCTCTGAAAGCAAATATGCAGATTTGTGCCTATTTGCCATCTCATTTAGAATATAACAATTTTTCCCACTTTCTGTCTGCGGAATTTTATATATGAAAGCATTTCAGTGGAAAAAAAAACAATTTATTATAGCTTAGAGTGTACAGACATTCACCATTTGGATATTTTACTGGGGGAAAAACAATAAAAGGGCCTGTAGAGTGCCTCCAAGAGGATTTGGAAAGATCAAAGCTTTCAGGACTACAAGTAAAGAAACAAAACATATTCATTGCAGTTGGACTGACATAGCTAGGACATAAGCTTATATAACAAAACAAACATTACATTTCTCAACTAAGCTGAGGTCTCCTCTGATTTTGAGTACTATCCTGATTAACACAGCCCTTTTATATAGCTTAGCTTTTCACTTTGTTGCCTATAACATTACTGCATGAAGAGTTTATGCTGATATTGAAATGAAAGTCCATTTGAAAGTTCCTGCACCATTCTCAGTCTTGATTCCTCAGGTGAATTCTACATAAATTTATTTTTCAAAATATAAATATATATTTTTGCCATGTTGGTATTGGCAAAAATAGGTTAATGTTTAAAAAGCACTGTTATATTGAAACTGGTTCTGCTACTCTTAACTGAAGTAATATATTTAAATATTTTTGAGATAATCACATACAATAAAAAGGGCTGGGAAAATAGCTCTCCTCCCCTTTGTCCTGCAGCAGGAACATCCTAATAGAAAATGGTCTGAAATGCTTTGAAGAGGAAGGTATGGAGAGTTCTCTAAGCTAACAAGATGTGTGTCACAAGATCCTCAGAGAACCAGCTGCTGCTTTTATGTTCAAAATGAGGATTATATCTGAATTTGCACCATTAACAGCACAAGAGACCAAAGGAACAATATACAAATAAATAGATTTTCGTGTATCCACGAGAAAGAGGGACATGTAGGCTACTTTCTTATGTAGAACTGTTACAGTCCCTTTTCCCTCTTCTTTTGCTATTAAGGAGGTCCAGCTGTCATCATCAAGTGACAGAACATCCCACGGTGTGAAAGAAGAACTGAAGGAAGACACCAGTTCATCTGCTGCCATTTGTTCCTGTGGTGGGCTGAGGCTTTGGAAGGTGTGCAATTACTTAATGAGTACTTCATGGGGGCTCCTGCTGCCCCAACAAAACTTATGAGGACACTTATCCAAGACCATGCTGTACTGCCAAAAATTCTTTCTCTCATGATCACATTTCTGTTTCCAGCCATGCTTCACCTCAGCCTCCTGAATTTTACGGCGTGAAGGACAGCAACATTTTGTCTAAATAATTTAAATGTGTACAATACATAAAGCATTAATATTTTCACTGGAGTAGATCAACTCTGAAGTTGCTCCCTTGAGGCACAGTAATTCACAAAGAAGCTATTGATGACCACAAGAAACAGGAAGACATATTTAGTAAGTCTACTCATGGAAAGAATGAAAACACAACAGCAAATAAATAGAACAGCTTGCATAATATTTAGTCTCCTACACTGCCTACAGGATTTGCTCAGTAATACACATACAAGAATAAAAATTATCATAATATACTCTGTAAATGACTGTGGACAATAAATCTAGCAAGTCAAACTATTTAAGAAGGCTCCAAAGTGGAAAAGCTCCCTGAGGATGAAACAGCATACGGGGGTCCGGGCTTCACTGATCATCCTTCATTATCACAATGAGCACAGCAGTTTCTGATGTCTTCTCCTGCCTCTTCAAAGGCCCCAGACGGGATCTTTTAAATGCCAGTGGTAATCCTTGAGGTGGTTCTGAGGTGAGGATGATGACTTTTTCATTCACATTTCATTTCCTTGCCCATTTAAACTATCTATGGGTAATACTCAGGAGCACACAAAACATTCCATTGCATATGACCTACTATCTGCTGTTATTTTTTAATCTGATCATTAGAACAGCAAGGCACTTCTTGATTTCAGCAACTTTATTCAGCATGTCCAGAAGTGGTAACTGTCACAGTGCTTCACTTTATTCTCTAGAAGACTAGTTACTAAATCAGTTCACCACTAGGCAAGTATGTGAACCCAATCAGATCTCAATACTTTATCTGCATGGACTGGGAGAAATCCAGAAGAGTGGATTCTCCTTGCAAAACCAATCAATCATTTCATTCACCAGCAACTTGTGCATTCATAGATGTGAAGATGTACTTCTAACCTGTGATCAAATGTAGTAGTATCAATCATAACTGGAACTAACAGTAGAAGTTCAATAAATATGTCTTGTTTTTTTGTTCCTAACTACCACCTCTAAAATATTTTTTTTCAGGTGACACTGAACTTTACCAAAGAGCTCACAACCTGCAAGTTTGTTTAACCTAGAAACTCCAATAAAAAACCCTTAAATATAGTATTTCTCTCTTCTGGAATTTACAGCAGGAATGACACAAGATCTGCAGTTGATAAATTCATCATGTCACAAGATAGATAAGAACACCAGGAATAACCCAAGCATCTCCATACCTGAAATATATCTAGACTGTCAGCAGGCGAGCTGCACAATACATCCTTTGTTTTGGATCTCTAATTTTTTAGCTATTTTTTGGTCTGTTCATATTTCTTTTCCATGGGCACAGCAGTGTGGGATTGCAAGATAGACAGAGATGATCTGCACACAGGCCCAGGACCCAAGATGAAGCCAGTACACTTTGGATGCTGATCCACACACTGTGAAGCACTTCCAGGCATGAAACAAGAAACTTGAGTCAAGCTAAAAATAACACTTTTATTCATTGCAATGATGTTTTAACATTATTTTGATTCAGTCTGAGAAGCACAGGCTTCTTATTGTCAGCTTGCGATAAAGTATAAAAAGCAGGTTTATTTTTGGACGTGGAACATAATGTACAAAGCAGAACAAAACCTATTATGTAGAGCATTATGTGCACTGCGCTTCATATACCAGGAGATGTTGTTTCTAAAAATCACCTGGAGCTTGAACATAGATTTGGGTAACAGAGCATTCATTCAAAATTAATTTGAAGCTGTCTTGGAACCCTAACAGCTCTGAATACACAACAAAAACAAACAAACAAAAAACCTAACACCGAAAAAAGAACACCGCTTGATTTGACACTAATTATCTTCACTTTGTGATGTTAAAAAGAGAGCTCTGCAGCGGCACCGTATAGCCCTGGCTAAATGCAGTTCGGCGTGTGCCTGTTCTGTGTTCTTTCCGCGCATTTTACTGCGCGCCGGAGCCCAGCGCTGCCCTCTTTGAAGGCGCAGCGCGGTGCTCATGTTTCAGCCTTGGTCCTTGGCTGCTGAGCACCCAGCGCGCTGGGACTGTGCGCGGCACACGAGCCTGTGCTCCGCAGCGCCGGCACGGACCGCACCGCCCGGCACGGCACGGCACGGCACGGCACAGAGCAGGACGGGCCGGCCGGTCCCAGGCGCGAGCCGGCCCCGGCGGGCGGGGCAGGGCGGGGCGGGGCGGCAGGAGCGGCAGGAGCGGCCCGCTGCCCGCTGCCCGCCGGCGGCGGAAGCGCCGCTGCGCCGCCGCGGAAGTGACGCCACGCTCCGCCTCCCCGCTCCCTCCCCCTCCCGGCGGCGGCTCGGGAGCCGGGCGCGGCTGGCGGCGGCCCCGGGTGGGACCATGGCGGACGGCGTGGACCACATCGACATCTACGCCGATGTGGGCGAGGAGTTCAACCAGGTACGCGCGGCCGGCGGGCGCGGCCTCTCCGCCGCGCTCCCCGCCCTCGCCCGCCTTCGCAGCCGCGCCGCCTGCAGGGCCCTCAGCGCGGCGGCCGCGCCGCCGCCATTGTTCGGGCGCTCCCGCCGCCGCCGAGCGCGGGCCTGCGCAGGGCCGGGGCGGGCGCGGCCTCACGCCCGGGCCGCGGGTGCCGGCGGCGGGCCCGGCTGGGCGGAGAGCGCGCCTGGCGCTGAGAGGCGGCCGCTGCCGGCGGGGGGGCCGAGCGCCTTCCTTCCTTCCTACCCTCGCTTTTCGGTCCTTACCAGCGTTCCTCCCTCTCGGCCTTCCCTTCTCAGGGGCCGCCCCAGAGGGCTCTCCCGTGCCCGCTCGGCGGACGGGACCTTCCCGGATGCGGCGGGGAGAGCGGCCCCTTCCCGCCGGCGGCCGAGGGGAAGCGCTGCCATTGTTCGCAGATGAATCAAAAGCCGCCGAGCGGCGGCTGCTTCTCGGCCGCGCTTGCGGGGGAGGCGGAACTCGTGCGGCTTTATTCTGCATCGCTGGAGAAACTATCCAGCTTCTTATATTTTCTTTTTTGTTTGTTTGTTTTTCTTGCTTGTTATTGTCGTCCATTTTAAAAAGTGGCGCAAGCCTTTTTTAGAGGACGAATCATATTCGTTGAGGAAATATAGATGAAATAAACAACTTCACTGGATTATAAGTAGTTTTCTAGTTTTTCCACTTTTCTAGTTTTTTCTCCTTTTTTCTGCCCCGTATCTTTACCAAATAGCCGTGTGCCAACTTTTCGTACCGAAACCCGGTGTTTGTATCAGTTTTGCACACCATCTGTCCTGTTAGCCAGTGCTGCACTTCTCCAGGTTGAGTTGCCCCAGATTGCTTTGTTCCTGCCCCAGAGCATAAATAACCGGGAACAACTGCACTTTCACGTACCTACGGGACCCAGCTGTATGCCCTGCAGAAAACTGGGAAATAAGTAATGGCTTTGGAATTCACAGGTAGTATGTAACTTTCTTAGCAACTTGTAGCTTTCTCAGAAGACTATTTCTTCAGATATCGATTAATACAGTAATTCTAAGTATTAATAATCTCATAAAGGTATACTATGAAAGAATGCCATGCTAAAAGGAGATGATGGAAAGTGCTGATTTGCTCTTAGCTTGTGTGCATGTGAAGGTTTCTCCCTTACAGTTGAAGACCCACTGTATGAGTTTAAACAGGAATGAACTCTAGGACAGACATCATTCAGCAGAAGAGTTCGTTTTTTGAGATTCTGTGATAACTTGAATTTGTTTTAGTCGATTCTATATAAAACCGATAACAAAACAGATTTTTCAGGGAAAAAACCCCTCACTTGAATCTGGTATTGTTTGTATAATTTCGTGTGTGCAGAAGCCCTCAGAGTAGAATAGTTATGTGCTGTAAATATAGTGTAAAGAGATAGTGCTGGAACAAAAGTGATGGGGATGATCTGTTTCACTCACTCGGTCCTGGTATACTCAGGTCATCATTACTGTTGGTATTCTCTATAACCACGGTGGTATGGGTGAAGAGAGTCTTGTTATAATTTAGTTTAGCTTAATCCAGCAGGCAGGGAAACCTTTTGCTTTTTTCCCTGTACTCAGCCCATTTGATTCCCTCTCGGGTTTGCATTTCTGCAGTCTGTTGTTCCAGTTCATAAATCTTGCAAAATATAGGGCAGAAAGGTGAGAAGAGGCTAGGGCCCTTTTTCCATCAGCTTGAATTTGAGGGGTTTGTTTGTTTGTTTGTTTGAGGGGGTTTTCTTCTGTGTTTTTTTTCTCTGTCACACACCCCCAAAAATTGCTGTTTGTTCTTTTCCAAATTTCATTTCTGTGACTTTCTATTTAAAGTAATATTGTTGAACTGAGCAAGTCTTGAGACAAGATAAAAGTTCTGCTGTAAGAGATTGATGCCTCTGAACTCTCCCATTTCCTTCTGTCATATATAAAAGAAGGCCAGTTGTATTAGTTACTGCCTCTTAGTTCTGACATAATTGAGAAAAGGTGCATAGAAACTTTAATTCATGAAATGCTGTTCCTGATTTGAAGCTGACAGCTTAAATTGATAAGATGGAACATAATTCTGTGGATGTGTGAAGATGACAAATAAAAAAAGGGAGAAAGTAATTTGCATTATTAATTTGGTTATGTAGAGAACATTTTACAAACACCATATTTGTAAAATAAACTGTCTTTATCTCTTAAATGAATTTGTTTTTTGATTTTGTTGCTCTACAGTAATGCCACTTAATAATATTTTTTTAAATTGGAGTATAGAACCCTTTCCACTGGTTTTGGCAGTAACAGGGACTGAAAAATGTACTGTGGAGTTTGCGGTTCTTATGTATGCAGTACATAACTGTATTTATACCCAAGCTGGGACAAGACTTGTGTTTGCATCTGGAGTTAACCCTTCATTTAGGACTTGGGACTGGATAAATCTCCCTTGTTTGTTTTGTCCTGTTCTACACCTCAAGGGACTCATCCTTGAGGCCATTCTGGGATGTTTTAAATGCCTTTTTTCCAAGCAGAGGGAAGATAAGGTTCTGCTTGATTAGTGCTAAATGAACCATAGGTTATAAAGGTGAAATAAAGACCACAGAGCCATGGGTTTGCAAGCTGGCTAAGATGCATGACAGCTGTAAACTGTCTTGGGTTGTATTTAGTGTTGGTTACAATGAGCTGACTAACTTGATATTGGATGTTTTGAGTGAAAATGCATCTTTCATATTCCAACTGAAGCTCATTGTCTGTCATTGTTGCCTCTTACTCGTTTATTAACTTACTGTTCATCAAAATATTATTTTTTGTCCTTGGGCTAACAGCTTTAGTCAATTTGGCTCTGACCAAATACATTTTTTTTTTTAAATTGTGGTTTCCTTTTTTTTTCTCTTTTTCTTGGAGAACTTGGTTGAGTAATTTTTCATTTTTTTTTTCTAAGCTGACTTCTCCACCCAGCAGTCTTATCTATTTATTTAAAATCTCATTTTGAGATGACAGCCTCATAAATGCAGTACTTCCTGCATGCATTGCTTGTGCCCTGTTAGAAATAGGTATTGCATGGACTGTTTTACCTTTAGCACCTCCCTCCATGTTGCACATCTTGCTCTGCAGGAGAGGGAGGTCTGTGATGCTTGTTAGAGTTGTTACCTGCGCACCAGTAGCTGGGGATGGCCTTCTCTCAAGGGCAGAGCACCCTCAGTAAGTTTGGGATGCTTTAGGAAATATTAGGGTGTGGTTTTATACACAAAACCCGAGAATATTGCTGTGTGGTGCAGAGATAATAAGGAGCCTGTGTAGGAGGCCAGTTTGGGTCTGACTTGAGGCTGCCTGCCAGTTTGCCCAACAAACTGGGTTGCTTTTTTATGGTCATGAAAATTTGACCATGTGTTAGGAAGTTCCCTGATGCTCTGATCAGCTTTGCATTTTCATGCTTGGAGGGCTTTTTCCCACATGTCTTTGTCCCTTCCATGTATGTAGTTAAACAGTAAAAACTTTTATTGTACACATGTAAAAATCTTTCTGATCAGAAAGAGGATGCAAAAGAATTTAAGCATATCATATTTTAATGCTGTGGAAAAGGTGCTTGCTTTGTTTATACTCTTAGTGAGTAAACTTGGGTAGTTGCATTGTGGATATGTCTAAACATGCCTCTAGTGTTCTATTTTGATATTTAAATGCTAACAAATTAGAGATGAAAGACTTCTCTTTGTATTTTGTAACTGGATAATAAAACTGATTTAGATGGAATAGCAGTTAAGAGGGTAATTATCTGAAAACTGCAGTGTCTTAAGAATGTGTTAGTTACCATCCTCAAATCTGTAACACAAAGGAATATGTTTGTGTGTGATAATTAATACAAGCTAGCATTTAGTGGCCAGTTAAAGCCAGTTTTTAAGAACAGCCTTTATATCAGAAAGACAGGTGTCTTATCATGAGAGGGGATGGACACCTTGTGGTATAATAAATTTCTGCTCAGTAGGGCTGTCCTGGTCAGAAAAAACATAAGCTGGCAGATCTGCATGTGTTATAAAATATGTCCACAATGTGTGATGGCATATGCATTTTGTCAGTTCTGCTGAAAGGGGCCCTGGGAAGATGTAACTTCTGTATATTGGTAAATATCAAACTGCAAAAAAACTTCAGACCTTCTTATCTGGCACCTCTTCACTTTGTTTTAATGTGAACAGTGATACTACAGTATGTTTTGTTTGTATTTTTGACTACTTGTGGCTGTTTAGTTGTTCTTTGTAACTCTGTAATTACTATGTAATTTTTAGTTACAAGGGATCAGGTTGCTTCAGTTTTAGTGCTGTGCCGTTTGTGGGGCCAAGAGCATTTGGGCCTGTAGAGGAAATGTGAATCCTGTGGTCTAACAAACTTGTCCACTTCTGCCATAGGCAGTTTGCTACTTTAGAAGTATCAAAGACCTCCTTTTTTGTTAATGTTCCAGTTTCTATGTTCAGGCAGTTAATCAAGACCAGAAAGATTTTTATGTGTTTAACTTGTTAAAATATGGTAACTTGAGTGAAAAAAACAGTAAGGGGAAAGTTGGATAGTTAAGTTTTTTTTTTTTCCCCAGAAGCAACAGTAAATATTTTTAATGAAACTTTATTTACCTCGCTGATTTTTAAATGTGTTTTTGGAGGTGTCAGTTAGTGTTTAATGCTTAAATTGGACAAAGTTCTGCAGAAAAGGCAAGTCTAACAGATGTATGGACAGCTTAAAGAAATTTTACATAACAACAAAAGCCATTTCCAAAACAGCACTTGTAAAGGAAGTAAGTGGTTCTCTGCAGCTCAGGGAAGCATGACCACTAAGTTCCAAATAAGAAATAACATGTTAAGTTTGTCCCTTCTGGACAGTGAAGTTCATTGTGTTCATGGCTTTCATATGGGAATGTTTCACCCAGTACCACCTATCAGCACAGAATGTGGAATTCAGTCCCGATTTTATGATGAAGTATTTCAGACTGTGGTCTAGTTA